CACCACACTCAGTTTGTTGCTGGGAGTGACGTGTTTCAACTGTGCTAGGCAGACACTTTACCAACTGAGTCACATATGGGACAGGGAGGTTCTGAGCCAGCAGTTACATGGGCTGAATGCTGTGTCCAAGGCAGGGCCTGAGTGCGTCCAAGGGGTGACATCATGTCCTGGAATAAAAGAGCTCAAGGAAATTCTACTGACTTAGGAAACTATTTAATAAATCAATGGGGGTTTGCTGGGGATAAGGTTCTATGTTTAGTTCTTGGCATTTCTAACACTGGGACTGGGTGATTCTTTGTAGTTGGAGATGACTGGATACCACTGCATGCCCCAACCCCAACCAAAATTGTTTCAAACCACTGTTCATAGTTCCCCAGAAAAGATGTGCCAAGCATGTCTTTGTTGCTGTTCTGTTGGCAAAAGAAGGTAACTTTATTCATAGAAAAGTGATAGTACAGATTATAGAGGGTACACGGTCAAGATTGAGAGAATTTGTGTGAGAGAACTCAAGGGCCTGTTGTTTTAAATGATTGCTGTTGTTTCTTTTTGTTTTGAGGTTCACTATACAGCCCAGACTGACTTGAATCTCACTATTCTCCTGTCTCAGCCCCCTGAGTATTGGGATTATAGACCTTTACCACTGCTTCTGGCTTGTTCTGCTCTTTTTCAGTATAGGAAATTGAACTTAGGGCCTTGTACATGCTAGGTAGGTAAGTGCTTTATCAACGAGCTACATCCTTAAAAAAGAATTACTATTTACTTATTTTTAATTTTTAAAAAAAGTTATTATTTTTATTTTATGTGTATGCATGTACTGCCTGCATGTAGGTAAGTGCACCCCTGTCATGCAAGGCCCAAGGAGGACAGACGAGGCTGTCAGATCCCCTGGAACTGGAGTTACGGACGGTTGTTAGCTGCCATGTGGGTGCTGGGATTCGAACCCAGGTGTTCTGTAAGAGTAGTGTTCTTAACCGCTGAGCCATCTCTCCAGCCCCTTATTTTTAAATTTTTATTCGTTTTTTATTTTATATGTATGGGTGTTTTGCCTGCATGTAAGGATACCATATGCATGTAATACCTGCTGAGGCCAGAAGACAGCATCGCATCCCCTGGAACTGGAGTTAATGACGATTATTAGCTGCCATGTGGGTGCTGGGAACCAAACCTGGGTCCTCTGCAAGATTAGTCAGTGCTCTGAACCACTGAGCCATCTCTCCAGCCTTATTTATTTATTATGTTTGTGGGTGCATTTCTGCCACAGTGTAAATGTCGGAGGTTAGAGGAAAACTTGCAGGACTCTGTTCTCTCTGTCTACCATGTGGATCCCAGAGATCAAGGGCAGGTCCTCAGGCTTGGCAGCAGGTACCTTTATCTACTGAGTCATCTTGCCAAGCCACCTCTGCATTTCCTCCCCTCTCAAACTAACAAAATTTATTCTGACTTTCTTTCTGAGTCCATTATCTGTGAGACTAAGAACCAGCAAAAAGGTTCCCGTGTTTCCTGGTAGCAAACAAATACACAGCAGGGGCTCTTTAAGAAATCACATTAGTAGCTGGTGTGATGGCCCACACCTTTACTTCCAGCAGAGGCAGGTAGATCTTTGTGAGTTCGAGGCCAGCCTGGTCTACACAGTGAGTTCCATATTAGCTGGGGCTACAGGGAGACCCTGACTCAAAAAGACCCCCCCCCAAAAAAAAAATCACATTTGTAAACTTACTGACCTGAGGCTAGAGTCCAAGCTGTTATCTTGGAAATCTACCAGTTAGGGACCTTCTCTTTTATATATTCTTTTCAAAATAGTGTCTGTAGGGGGTTGGAGAGACGGTTCAGTGGTTAAGAGCACTGGCTGCTCTGGCAGAAAACTCAGGTTCAATTCCCAGCACCTTCACAGTGCCTAAAAACCATCTGTAACTCCAGTTCCAGGGGATCTGAGGCCTTCTTCTGACCTCTGTAAGCATTGCACAACACAGGTACACCTACCTATATGCAAGCAATACATTCATACACATAAAATAAAAATACTTAATAATAAAAAAAAAATAAGTCTCTTTGTAGCCCAGCCTGACCTGGAATTCACATGTAGCTGAAGATGGCTTTGAACTCCTAAAATTTTTGCCTTCATCTCCCAAATCTGCTTTTTGTGTGTCTGTTCTATCTTTGTTTTGTTTTTGTTTTTTCTTTTTGTCTTTTGAGACAGGGTCTCCCTGTAGCCCCAGCTGACCTGGACACTCACTATGTAGACCAGGCTGGCCTCGAACTCACAGAGATCCGCCTGCCTCTGCCTCCCAAGTGCTGGGATTAAAGGTGTGCGCCACCACACTCAGCCCTGATTTTGTTTAAACTTAAATTTATTTTTGTTTTTATGTGTATTAATGTTTTGCCTGAATATATGTAGGTACACCGCATGTGTATAGTGTCTGTAGAGGCCAGAAGAGGGCATAGGATCCCCTAGAACTGCAGTTATGGGTAGTTGTGAGCCACCATGTGGGTGCTGGGAACCAAATCTGGGTCCTCTGTAAGAGCAGCCAGTGCTCTTAACTGCCGAGCCATTTCTCTAGCCCCCACCGCCACCCACTGGCTTTTTTAGCTTTTCTTTTTTAAATTTTCTCTTCATTTTTGATGAAGGCACCTGAGACTTTGCTCTTGAAGGAATCTTTTCTATGCAGATTACACAATTCAGAGCCCACAACACCTGTTCGCCTGGGCTGTTATACAAAGGTCATCTCAAGGTAGATGAGGCCCAGAGACATCATGATGCCCCAGAGACCTCTGAAATCATTCAAACTAGCTGAGGCTGAGTTCCACAGCTGTCCTTTGCCTGGTCTTTACCATGCAGCCCACATCTCCCTCAGAGCCCTCTGCTGCTGACCTGCTGGTGTGCTGCCCCTGAGGGCCCTGCATGGCCTCCTTGGTGTGATGGTTTTCAATGTTGTCAAATATTTGAACACTTAGTCTCCAGTTGGTGGCACGGTTTGAGAAGTCATGGGATCTTTTGGAGGTGGAGCCTTACTGCAGGAAGTGTGTCACTGGGGGCGGGTTTTAAGAGTTCATAGCCTTCCCTACTTCCATTTTGTTATTTGTGTGTTTCCTGTCGAAGATGTGATCTCTCGGCTTCCTGCTCCAGCAGCCTGCTGCCATGATTCCCCAGCCCTTATGAACCCTCCCTAGGAAACTATAAGTCAAAATAAACTCTTCCTCCTGGTGTTTTATCACAGCAACAGAAAAGTAACTAATACACTTGGCGTGATGTCACCATTCCTTCTGGGAACTGTCAGTTAAGACTATCTTCAGTGGCAAAGGCTTCCCCAGCTGTTGGCCTTACAATAATTGAATAACACTAAAACTGATATTTATTTATTTCGGGGTCTGAGAAAAGGTCTCATTTAAAAAAAATTTTCATTTATTATTTTTATTTTATGTGTATGCATGTATTGCCTGCATGTAGGTAAGTGCACCCGTGTCATGCAGTGCCCACAGAGGACAGAAGAAACTGTTGGATCCCCTGGAACTGGGGTTATGGACAGTTGTTAGATGCTATGTGGGTGCTGGAATTCCAACCCAGAACAGTCAGGGTTTTTAACTGCTGAGCCATCTCTCCAGTCCAAGAAAAGGTCTCATTTTGTAAGCCTGGTGCAGGAACTCATTATATAGACCAACCTGGTCTCAAACTTGAGGTGAGCCAGGCGTGGTGGCAGAGGCAGGTGCCTGATTTACATAGTGAGCTCTAGGCTAAGCGGGGGCTACAGGGAGACTCTGGAGAGAGAGAAAGGGGGGGGGCTAGAGAGAGAAATCAAACCAACACAAAAAAACTTGCCTTATGTGATCCTCCCACCTGCCTTTACCTCCCAAGTGCTGGGACTACAGATGTGTACCATAACCTAAGCATAATCCACATTAAATTAAATGAATTAGTTTGTTTTGGAAAAGACAGTTTCACTGTCTTTTGTTAGCCTGGAACTCACTATGTAGCCCAGACTGGCTTTGTACTTGTGGAGGGCTCTGCTGTCTCAGCCTCCTGAGTGTTGGACTTACAGGCATGAGCCGCTATACCCAACATAAGCCATGTTTTAAAATGGGAGACGAAATTGACCCTGTGTTAGAACCACTGTTATAAACTCAATCTGAATCAATTTTTTATTTTATGAAACAATAATTTTGCAAGCAGAAATGATTTGTTACACATTCCTTTTTTTTCCTTTCCTTTTTCTTTTGAATTTTGTTTTATGCCACAATCACATGTAACAGAGGACAACTTACAGAGTCGGTTCTCTCCGCCAGTCACATGTAACAGAGGACAACTTAACAGTTGGGTCTCTCCACCTACCCTTATATAGCTTCAGATGATCAAACTCTGGCTTAAACACCTTTACCCACTGAACCATCTCAGTGGTTTGGCTTTCCTTTTTAAATAAATTACTTAGGGGGCTGGAGAGATGGTTCAGCAGTTAAGAACACTGGTTGTGCTTGCAGAAGACCTGGGTTTGAATCCCAGCACCCACATGGCAGCTAACAACCATCCGTAACTCCAGTCCCAGGGGATCTGTCAGCTTCTTCTGACCTCCTTGGGTATTGTACGACATGGGTACACTTACCGACATGCAGGAAATACATGAATACACATTAAAAAATTAAAAAAAATAAATTACTTAGGTGTGGTAGCAGTTGCCACTAATCCCAACACTAGGGAGGCAGAGGCAGGTGGATCTCTGTGAGTTAGAGGCTAGCCTGGTCTATATAACAAGTTCCAGGCCAGCCAGGGCTACATAGTGAGACCAGGTCTCCATAAAAAGGAGGGGGTGCTGGAGAGGTGGTTCAGCTATTAAGAGGACTGCTCTTATAGAGGACTGAGGTTTGGTTTCCAGCACCTGCATAGCGGCTAACATCTGGCCATAACTCTAGTTCCAGGGGATCTGAAGCCCTCTTTTGACCTCCATGGGCATTGTACCACATGGATGCACTTACATACATGCAGGCAATACACTCATGTACATTAAAAAAAATTGACCTTGACTCAGGGCCAATCAACAGTTTGCTGAAGCTGTTGGTTTCAAGCAGGTGCTAAAGAGAAGTCTTTCTATGGTCTGTTCGGCATTTCAGAAATTTGGAAATGGTCAGTTCATTAGAAAGAAACATTTGGGGGCTGGAGAGATGGCTCAGCAGTTAAGAGCACTGACTGCTCTTACAGAGGACCCGGGTTCTATTCCCAGCACCCACATGGCACATAAAAAAAATATTAAAATAAAACATTTGGCTAAAAAACAAAAAATTGAGTTGGGCCTGGTGATGCACGCCTTTAATACCAGCACTCAGGAGATAGAGACAGCTGAGCTCTGTGAGATCAAGGCCAGCCTGGTCTACATAGAGAGTTCCACACCAGCTCAGGCTACCGGGAGACCCTGTCTCAAAAAAAAAAAAAAATTAACTTTTGCATGTATTTGTGTGTGTATGTTCTTGTGCTTACACATGTATGTGTGGGTGCATGTATGTGTGGAGGCCAGAGGCATCCTGGGATGTCATTCCTCAGGTTCTGCCCACCTTTTTTTTTTTTAAATTTTATTTATTATATTTATTTTATGTGTATGTGTGTATTGTCTGCATGTAGGTAAGTGCACCCATGTCGTGTAATGCCCACAGAGGACAGAAGAGGGTGTCAGATCCCCTGGAACTGGAGTTAGGACAGTTGTTAGCTGCCATGTGGGTGCTGGGATTCGAACCTGGGTCTTCTGCAAGAACAACCAGTGTTCTTAACCAGTGAGCCATCTCTCCAGTCCCCACCTTATTTTTTGAGGCAGGGTCTCACCCTGGCCGAGGGCTTGCACATTAGGGCTGACCAGGGAAACCCAGGAGCCTGTCTCCACCTCTTCAGCTGTTCTACTTTGTTTCTTCATTGCTGTGACAAAATACTCTGACCAGTACCAACTTGGGGAGGAAAGGGTTTATTTGACTTACATCTCCCGGGTCACAGTTCACCACTGAGAGAGTCCAAGGTAGGAACTCAGGGTAGGAACCTGGAGGCAGAAGCTGGAATACAGGCCATGGAGGAATGCTGCTTACTGGCTTGCTCCCCCGGCCCCTCCTCAGTCTGCTTTCTTTTTTTTTCTGTTTTGTTTTTTTGAGACAGGGTCTCCCTGTAGTCCCAGCTGACCTGAACTCACTGTGTAGACCAGGCTGGCCTTGAACTCACAACGATCCGCCTGCCTCTGCCTCCCAAGTGCTGGGATTAAAGGCGTGAGCCACCACACCCGGTAACCTGCTTTTTTATACAAAACAGGACCACGGGTGGCCCAGTCCATGGGCCCTCCCACATCACTCAATAATCAAGAAAATACCCAGACATGGCTGGCTACAGGCCAATCCAATGGAGGCAGTTCCCCAATTGAGGCTTCCTCTACCCAGGTGTGTCAAGTTGACAATTAAAGATATCCAGCGCAATTGCAAGTGCACAGGTGTGCCCTGAATTATTTATTTATGCTGGGGAGCGGGGAACATGCCAGGGCTGTAGTATGGAGATCAGAGGACAACTTACGGGAGCCACTTCTCTCCTTCCACCGTGTAGGTTTTAGAGACTGAGCTCAGATGGTCAAGCCTGGAGTTAAGCATCTTTACCCATTGAGGCATGTTTCTAGCCCCCGCACTGAGGCAGTACCCCAGCCTCTCACTGGGGGATTCTAGGCAGGTGCTCTACGACTGAGCCATGTCCCTGGCTCACCCCTCATCTGCCCTAATCTCCTGAGTGCTGGTATGACAGATGTATGCCACCATGCCTGCCTCTCTGTTTGAGCCTTGACTGCCCTCATCTGTGTAAACTAATCCTCAGCATTTCCAAAAAGATTTCACAGACTGTTTCCCAAGAGCTGGTAATCAATGTGTGAAAACTGTGGTCAGGCTAGACAGGCCTGTGCATGCCTGGAATCCTAACCCTTGGCAGGCTGAGGCAGGAGGACTGCCTTGAGCCACATAGTGAGTACCAGGCAAGAAAGGTACATTCGCTATGTAGATAGCAAGATCCTATGGCGGGGGCAGGGCGGGGGGTTGACAAGATGGCTAGGTGGGTAAAACCACCTGCCAAGGCCAACAATCTCAGTTTGATTCCAAAAAAGGGTAAAGGGAGAGACTCAACTCCTGAGAGCTTTTCTCTTACCTCCTCCACACTAACGGTTCACACAGCAGCACAACACACACACACACACACACACACACACACACACACACAAAAACATTCACACACCTCACATAGTAATGTGAATGTTTTAAACTAAGAGAAAATAAAGAACTGAATGTGTCACTGGGTTGACAGATGCTTGTCTAGCAGGCAGGAGACTCTCCGCTCCATCCTCATCACCATGTAAGCCTGGCATCCTCATTAGTGTGTAAGCCTGGTACGGTGGCACATTGGCACTCGGGGTGAAAGCAGAAGTTCAAGTTGTCCTTGGCTACATATCGAGTTTGATGCCAGTTTGATGCCAGCCTCCTGAGATGCTGGAGACCTGAACATGAAAGAAAGAGAAGGAGGGAGGGAGAGAGGGAGGAAGGAAGGCAGGCAGGCAGGCATGTTAGCTTACACCTTTAATCCCAGCACTCAGGAGGCAGACACAAGGCAGATCTCTGTGAGTTCAAGGCCAGCCTGGTCCACATAGTATGTTCCAGACCAGCTGGGACTACAGAGATTCTGTCTCAAAAAAAACTCAAAGACCGGGAGGTGGGGGGGAAACAGACCAGAGGAGGGAAGGGAAGGGGAAAAGAGGAGAGGGGAGGGGCAGGGGAGAGAAGGAGGGGAGGAGAGACAGAGGTGGGGGAAGAGAGAGAGGAGGGGAGGGAGGAGAGGAGAAAAGGGGCCACACAAGTTTTCAGTCCTCCCTGTGTCCCTGGGGAGGGACTGTGTTGTCTTCACAGCTTTACTGATGCCCCAAAGAGGCAGAAATCCCCCACCTATACTTCCAGAGTAAAGGAATCTCCCCACAACTCACAGAGCAGGCCTCGTGGTTCCAGGCCCGGGCCGAGGCCCCAGCGGCCCGGCCAACTCACATCCTCTTGCTTTCCATTCACTTCTTTGCTACAACAAGATTTTTTCAAAAACAGAGATGGACTTGTGTCATTTCCAGCCAAAGGGCTCTAATTGCTTCCCTTTCCACTTTGGACAAAAGCCAGAAGCCTTAGTGTGTCCTGGATCAGCTCCTGCTAGCGAACCTGGCTGGCTTTATATCCAGCTTCCCTTTCCATCATCGCTCCCTCTCAGTGGTCTGTTACACCAGCCAGTGGGCTACTGGGCTCTTCTACATCCTGGACCACATCCTGGATCTACATCCTGGGTCCTCACGCCAGCTTTGCCCTGTGTTTGGAACACCCAGCCTTCCTTTGGAGCTTTGGGTGGTTGGCTTTTCCTTTTCAGTTCTTGGCTTAAATGTTATCATCTCAGAATCCTTAAGAAACTTAAAATAGAACCTTCATATGATGCAGTGATCCAACTTCTGGGTATACATCCAACGGAAATGAAAGCAGTATGTGGAAGAGACATCTGCACTCCGTGTTTGTGGTGGCCCTTGACTCAGCAGCCAAGTGAGGGAAATGGCCTGCGTCCCATCAGTGGATGCGTGGATAACAGAAATGAGAGATATATTTACAACAGACTATTACTAAGCCTTAAATAAAACAGCTGGGGGGCTGCAGAGATGGCTCAGCAGTTAAGAGCCCTGGCTGCTCCTGCAGAGGACCCAGGTTCGATTCCCAACACCCACATGGCAGCTAACAACCATCTGTAACTGCAGGGGATCTGACGCCCTCTTTTGACTTCCACAGCATTGCATGACACGGGTGCACTTACATACATGCAGGCATTGCACTCACACACATAAAATAAAAGTAATAAAATATTTTTAAAATCCCAGCTGGGCCTGGATGTGATTCACTGGTAGAGTACCTGATTAGAGTGTGTAGGGTCTTGGATTCCATCCTCAGTGTGGGGGTTGGGTGGGGGAGAAAAGAAAAGAAAGGAGAGAGATGGGAGGAGGAGAGAAGGTAGACCAAGAAGATGGCTCATCTGGTAAAAGAGCTTGCTGAACAAGCCTGGTGGTTTGACTTCAATCCGCAGAACCATATAAAGGTGAAAGGAGAGAACCAACTCCATGAAGTTGTCCTCTGACCTCCACACATGCGATGTGGTGCATGTGTCCCATCCACACACATCGTGCACGCACACATACGTAAATAAAAATTAAGAGAAAAGAGAATGGAGGAGGAAGGGAGGGACAGAGGAAGGAAGGAAGGAAGGAATGGAGTGGAGGGAAGGAAGAGAGAGAGGAGGAGGAAAGGAAGGAAGGGAGAGAGAGAGGGAGGGAGGGAGGAAGAAAGGAGAGGGAGGGAGAGAGAGTGAGAGAGAGAAAGAGAGAGAAAGGGAAGAGAGAGAGACTCCTGTAATCTCAGCATCAGGAAGTGGAGGCAGGAGGATCAGGAGTTCAACTACATAGTGAGTTTGAGGCCAGCCTGGGCTATAAGTCACCCTGTCTCAGAAACCAAGGGGCAGGGCAGAGATAAGAAAAAGGAAGGAGGGGGCGCGTGGTGGCAGATGCTTTTAATCCCAGCACTCCTGAGACAGAGGCAGGTGGGTCTCTGTGAGTTCAGGCCAACCTGGTTTACATAGAGAGTTCCAGGCCAGCCAGGGCTATGGAGCGAGACTCTGCCTCAAATTTTTAAAAAGGAAGGAAGGAAAGGAACCCTGTTGCTTTCAGTATGAACCTTCCTGAAGGACATTATGCTAATTGAAATAAAACAGTAATAGAGAAATATTGCATAATCTCATTCATATGTGGAAAAGAAAACATTTGAACTCAGCAAAGCTAAAAATAGAATCCTATTACAGGGTCAGGGGAGGGGAGGAGTCAGGATTCTGTGCACTGTTGCTCAAAAGACAAAGTTTCAGGGACAGACAGGAAGGAAAAGTCTGAGTATCACATAGTAGCTACAATTAACATTGTTGAAAATTGCCACCCAGCCTTTTTTTTTTTTTTTTTTTTTTGGCTTTTCTTTTGTTGTTGGTTCAGAGTCTTTAACTATCACAGGCTGACATGTAACCGTCGTCCGGCCTCGGCCTTCCCAGGGTAGATTACAGGTCTGCACCGCCACATCTACATGCAGAGTA